ACTGATCACTGGTTTGTGTTTGTCTTTGTTTCTGCACTGTAACATCTGCACAAGTGGGTTCTGGGTCCAAAACTGACCCCAATTGTACCAGCAGTGAGTCAGCGGTGTGGGGAGTGTGAGAGAAACAATCCAAACCCTGCCAGTGGGGTGGGAATAGGGGATGGAAAGTGTGGAATTGTTCCAGGTGAATGTTGGCAGATGGATTGCACTGAATTGCCCAGAGAAGGGGGGTATAAATATCTCCTGGTCTCGGGGGTACCTTCTCTGGGTGGCCAGAGGTTTTGCCTTGTGGCACCAACCAGGCTAGGGAAGGGAGTGGAATCCTGTTGAATCCAGGAATCCCTGGATTTGGGGTACCTTTGGGAAGGTCACCAGACAGAGGTTCCCACTGGACTGCAGAAACAAAATGTTTCAGTCTTGTTTTGCTCTTCTGATGCAAGTTAAAACATTTGGGGGAAAATTTCCATCTCATTTTAGTACCAAATGTGACCCCAGAGTTGCCTACAAGTACATAGATAAAGTGAGCAAGAATATCTGCTGAATGTGTAAATGTGTGTGTAATCAAAAGCCCTGTCTGTCTGTCCCTGAAGTGGTGAGGCCTGAATTACAGGCCCTGGGCCCAAACTGACCTCTCCATGACCCTTCCAAGCTGATGTTCTGTTTATCCATGTACCACTCATCAGCTAAAACTGTATCTGTCTGTGAGTAAAAGACTGGTAGTGTGATAAAACTGTAGCTTATCAACAAAATGTGTTAAAATCTGCTCATCAACAAAATGTGTTAAACACTTTTTAGTGAGCCATGTTAGTATCTGCTCAGTACTGAACACTCTTTGTACCTGTTCATTGGTGAAATCTGTGTGATTTGTCAGCAAGGTCTGATCTTTGTGTGTGTAGATCCTGGTCAAGGCCCTGGAAGTGATACCTGGCCTTGTCTGGCAGCAGATGGTGCAGGTTGTGACTCCCTTGGCTTGTGAGAAATAGAACATTGCTCACAGCCTTTCACAGGGGGCAAATAAAGAACAATATTATCTTGGAGAAGTCCTGGAGGATTGGATCAGGGATGTACTCGAGCAACCAGGATGTCAGCTGAGCTGTGGGGACCCAGAGAGGATCAAACCCAAACGTTCCAGCCTTTGTGGTGAAAACCAGTGACACTGTGCCTGCTCAGAACTGAGGGCAGCAAGGGGACACCTCAACTTTGGGGGGCACCAGAAACAGAAAAACCCACCAGAGACCCCCAAAGAAGACCCCAAATGACCAAATAAGGACTGGGGATAGAGGGTGTGAGTGTGTAAAGCAAAGTACAGTATTTGTGTGAAGGGAGAATATCTAATGAGTGTGTAAATTGTGTGTGATATAAAGCCCTGTCTGTCTGCCACTGAAGTGCTGAGGCTGAACAACAGGCCCTGAGCAAAGTTGGCCTCTAGAGCTCCAACCTGATGTTCTATTTATCACTCATCAGCTAAAACTGTGTGTGTTTGTGAGTAAAAGATTAGTGTGAAAGACTACACGAAATGTCATTAGTAAGATGTATTAATATCTGCTCATTAGTGGATACTGTTTGTGTCTGTTCATTAACAAAATGTGTGTGATTGTGAGCAAGGTGTGACCTTTATCTCCCTGTGTTTGGGGGCAGGTGAAGGCCGTGGCAGTCGATGTCTGGCCTTGCTTGGCAGCAGATGGGACAGGTTGACTCCCTGGGTTTGCCCCTTCAGGCCTGGCCAGGCTTTGGGTGGGACCCAGGAGGAGAAGGGAGTGTAATAAGTAGTAGTAGTTAAATTTACTCATCAAATTAGTAGTAGTAGTTTACTCATTAAATTATAGTGCATGTTATATTCTTATATACATATATATGTTATTATAATCAATGTTCTGTTAAGATTGGGAGACTGTAAGTTACAGAATGGTTAAGCTAATAGTCATGCAGCTTGCAATTCTTAAGCTGGAAAGACAAATTATTGTGTTTTACTGAATAAGTATTTTGTATCTTTTATAAAAAGCTTATTGTCTCACAACACGCATAAAGTAAAGGAAAGAAGGACAAGGACCGAAGAGTCAGGAACTGAAATGATCCAGAGTATCCAAGATGGACATCTAGAGATGCCTGCACACGAGGCCTCAAGGTCTAAGGACTGATTGAAACTATGGACAGGAAAGCACCTGGCAACTAAAACAGACTTGCAAAGAAACCAACCAGAACCAGACCTGCAAACTCAGATCCAATAGAAGGAGAACAAGTAACTATGGGAGGGGAACTGATAAGGGAATAAAAGTTACTATTTTTGTTCACTGCACTTGCGGGCTGTGAGTGGAGCAGGAGACTCCCTGGCCGCCCAGCATGCTGTTTTGCTTATTTGCATTTTCTATAAATCTTCAATAAATTTTTATTACTATATTTCAACTCAGTTTCATTTTACTTATAACAGGGCCACTGTGACATTACAGGGCTTAAGGGAGCCAAAGGAACTGAGGGACAGTGACAACCTTATGAAATAGTGGGGTCATTGTGACACTGCTAAAACCCATGAAATCAGGAGGCTGTTGTTACACTGGAAAACCTCATGGAATCAAGGGGCCATTGTGACACTGCAGGGCCTCATGGAAACCAAGGAACACAGGGAAACTCTGAAATCTTGTGGAATGAAGGGGCCATTAAGAACTTGGGGCCTTGTGGAAAGAGAGGAACCCTGAAACATTTTGGAACCTGATGGATCCAAGCAGGCATTTTGAAACTGCAGGCCCTCAGAGAAACTGCAGGAACCCTGGGACATAATGGAAGCTCCTGGATCTAAGGGGCCATTGTGACACTGGGGAACCTCTGGGAATGAAGGTGCCTCTCTGACACTGAGGAACCTTTTGGGCTCAAGTGGCCTCTGTGACACTGCAGGGCCTCAGGGAAGCCAAGGAACCCTGGGACACTGTGGAATCTCCTGAAATCAATGGGCCACTCTGATGCTGCAAAACCTCCTGGAACCAAGGGCTCATTGGGACACTGCCGGGCCTCCTGGAACCAAAGGAATGCAGGGACACTGTGGAATCTCCGGGAACCAAGGGGCCACTGTGCCTGCCCAGCACTCCATGGAATCAAGCAGAGCTGCTGCCTCCCCCCCGCCGCCACACGGACCGGAGTCGCCGGCTCTGCCCCGCTTGGACCCCTCTGGAGTCAGCGTGTTCTTGGGCAGCACAACTCAGCTCAGACCTGAGAGTTTCCCAGAGTTTGCTTCTCAGCCTCTTTCCCCTGGTTTTGTTTTCAGTTCTTTGTTCATTCAGGGGAAAAGGGGGAAGGGAGGCACGTGTTGATCCCTGTTTTGAACTGTTTACCAAAGGGAGTTGGGGCAGGGGCGAGAGAGGAGGCAATTTCTCTCTCTGCTGTTGCTTTGAACTGTTCTGTTGGTATTGCTGGTTTTGCTGCTGTATTTCTTGTCAGTGAACTGTTATTTTTTTCACTTATACCTCCTAGTAATTTGTCTCCCTGTATTGGTGGGGAATAAAAGGGGAGTGCGTTTATTTTATTGGAGTTCCCTCCCCAAGATGTGTCTTTAAACCAGGACAGGTTGCTCAAGGGCTCCCTGAAATTTGGCATCATCCACAAAGGACTTGAAAACACCTTTAAGTCTCGTTGTACAAAGAGATAATAAAGATGTTCTCTAGTGGTGTTCAAGGGCTGGTAATTGAGGCATTTCATCAGGAAGTTGCTGCCAAGAGGACTTTGTACCATGGATTTTTTTTTGACACTTTTCAGTCAGCTCCCACCAGTCTGGTTCTAAGGAGACCACAGGAGACCATGTCAAGGGCCTTGATAAAGTCTGGGCACACAACATCCCCTTCTTTTCCCTCCCACAGGGGTTCTGCAATCCCTGCCTTGTCATTCCCATACTTGGAAATGGCTGCAGGAGGACTTGCCATGTCCCCTTCCCTGCTGAGCCTGAGCAGTCTGGAACTCTGCCAAGCCTCCTTGCTGCCCTGTTTGCAGACTGGTTCATGTCTGCCTTTGCCAAGGCCCCAGGAACCTCTGGGATGGCTCTGACCTTTGCAAGGTTAGGGAGAATCTCCTCTCTGAGCAGGAATTTAGAAAGCAAGGGGGTCCTTTCTGCTTCTCATACCTCAATGAGAGGCTTATCCCAGAAACTTTGTCTAAGCCTTCCACCCCTAAGCCGTGACACACGGGCATGTCTTGTCCATGCAGGGCAAACATGGACTGCTGAGTTGGTCATTTCTGTCCCTCCTTGGAGGGAAGAACAACCTCCCTGCCCTGGGCTGAGAGGCCAGTGCTGGGAACACCCTGGCTGTGCAAGGGCACTGCTGGGTGCCCCCACATTGACCCCTCCCACACTTGTGCTGCTCATGCTGTTTTCCTCTGCAGGGCCTTGTGTTGGGCACAGCCTGCAGAGCCAACTGCAAAGGAGATGGAAGCTTTCAGGCCCTGCCCTGAGGAGATGCCCCTGCAGGATGGCAGTGCTGCTGCAGAGGTCAGCTCTGTGCCAGCAGTGCCCATGGCTGTCCCTGCCTGCAGTCCCTGCCCAGTCCTGCAGCAGGACTGGCCCCGACTGCCTGAGCACTGAGGCCTCAAACAACACAGGGCTCTGCAGGACAGTGGGCAAGGGCAGGAGGAGGAGGCCACGGAGGAGAAGGGCTTCTTCTCCCTGGCAGGGCTGCTCTGCTGGGACTCTTTTGTTGCCCAGCTCTGCACAGAGGCACCGACCCTGCAGCTCCAGAGCAGTCAGAGAGGAAAGATGTCAGGGAAACCAGTCAATGCAGAGTCCTTAATTTCCTTTCAGCATACAATGAGTACAACTGCCATTTTGAACAGCCTTTGGGCAAGGCTAGAAAGGCAAACACTGAACTGACAATGTCATTTATATATAAAAACATATATATATATATATATTTTCATATATATAAACACTTTTTGGTATGAACCAATTCTCACAAAACTAAAACCCATACTGGGAGAAAAAAATAGAGAAGATACGGGCCATTATTAAGTACATAACAGGATTAGTCTTTAATGAGATACATGACTGAAGAAGAAAGAGAGTTTATTGCTTCTGAAAAACACCCAGTTATCTTATTCCTCAGGACATCCTTGAGCTCCTGGTTCCTCAGGCTGTAGATGAGGGGGTTCACTGTTGGAGGCACCATTGAGTAGAGAACTGACAGGGTCAGATCCAGGGATGGGAAAGAGATGGAGTGGGGCTTCAGGTAGGCAATGAATGAGGTGCTGAGGAACAGGGAGACCACGGCCAGGTGAGGGAGGCACGTGGAAAAGGTTTTGGCCCGTCCCTACTCAGAGGAGATCCTCAGCACAGCCCTGAAGATCTGCACATAGGAGAAAACTATGAAAATGAAAAATCCCAAGAAAGGAAAAGCAGTAAAAGCAAGAAGCCCATTTTTCCTCAGGTATGTGCTTGAGCAGGAGAGCTTGAGGATGTGTGGGATTTCACAGAAAAACTGGCCCAGGGCATTGCCCTGGCACAGGGGCAGGGAAAATGTATTGGCTGTGTGCAGCAGAGCATTGAGAAACCCAGAGGCCCAGGCAGCTGCTGCCATGTGGGCACAAGCTCTGCTGCCCAGGAGGGTCCCGTAGTGCAGGGGTTTGCAGATGGCAACGTAGCGGTCGTAGCACATGATGGTGAGGAGACAATACTCTGCTACAATGAAGAACAGAAAGAAAAAGGCCTGTGCAGCACATCCCTTGTAGGAGATGGTTGTGGTGCCCCAGAGGGAGTTGTGCATGGCTTTGGGCACAGTGGTGCAGGTGCAGCCCAGGTCTGTGAGGGAGAGGTGCAGCAGGAAGAAGTCCCTGGGGGTGTGCAGGTGCTGGTCGCAGGCTACGGCGCTGAGGATGAGGCCGTTGCCCAGGAGGGCAGCCAGGGAGATGCCCAGGAAGAGCCAGAAGTGCAGCAGCTGCAGCTCCCGCCTGTCTGAAAATGCCAGGAGCAGGAACTGGGCCATGGAGCTGCTGTTGGACATTTGGTGCCTCCTCAGTGTTTGGATCTGTTGAGGAGGAGAAGTCAATGCTGAGTTAGACCAGGCTGCTGCAGCCAAACAGGACACGTCTCACAACCACCCCACTCTCAGGCTCTCTCTCCTCACTCAGACCTCCCTGCAGCTCCCTCCCCTGAGCTCTGGCTGTTGCTGCCTGAATTCCTCGTGTTTGTTCCCACACTTGCACCTGCCACAGTTAGGAGTCGTTGTGGATGTTGAAAATCCCTGACATTTCCATGGCACTGCAGGTCAATTCTTGTGGGTTCTGAGAGCACAGGGATGGTCCCTCAGTGCAGACAGAAGAGCTGCTCTGCCCATCAGTCTGTGCTCAGCTGCCCTGTGCTGGTAGCTTGGAGCTGCAGGAGCATCACACTCAACTGTTCCCCTACACAGAAACTGCACAGACAGCCAGGAATCTGTGTCCAAAGAACAGACTGACACATTCCTCACCTTTTCATCTCTGCCCTTCCAGAGTGAGACACAAATGCTCCTTGCAGCTGCCCAGAGCATTTCCATGGAGTTAGCACTGAGGAGTTTTCTCCACGGGGATCCTGTGCAGCACAGAGATACTATGGCAGAACTCTGCCCTTCTGGAGGGCACCTGCAGCCCTGCAGGACACCCAGGGAAACAGCTGAAGAGCCTGAAGTTGCCTGGAGGGCACTTGGGCACTTTGGTCCTACAGACACAACCCTAAAGCATCACCCAAAGGGTTTGTGTCTGCACAGGAATCTGCCCCCCCAAACCCCACACTGGCTCAGAAAAGCCAAGGGTGAAAATAAGGACAGCCCAGGTAGCAGGGGATGGCAGGGAAATGCCCCAGTGCTGCTGCCAAGGGAGGAGGGACAGGCAGAGCCAGATGGAAATGAGGGCCTTGTCCTTGCCTGGGCTCTGTCTGCTGCAGAGCAATGCCCAGCCCAGCCCCCGTGGGCCTGAGGGCAGAGGCTCTGCTTGGGCTGGCAAAGGAGCCCAGGCAGGAGCTGCTCAGGGAAGGGCTCTGTGCCACAGACACAGGCAGGGAGGGGCCACATCCCCCTGGGCAGCACTTGTGGCAGCAGCTGCCTCTCCCTCCCTGCCTGGGTGTGTGTGAGGAGCTGTTCCTGCCAGCAGCCCCTCCCTGTGCCCAGCTCAGCTCCCTGCCAGTGCTGCCAGAGCCCATGCCCAGCCCTGGGCCCAGGGGCAGCTCTGCCTGGGCAGGGGCTGCAGAGCAGATCCCAGAGCCCTGCGCTGGCTGGGAAGGGGCAGGGGTTGGCAGTGGATGTGCTTCCTGAGAAGGGCTCTGGCACAGGGAACCTTCTTGCCCTGAGCCTCTGATGGGGCAGCAGCAAGTCCTGCTCTGCAGCAGCTTCTCCTGCTGCCCCCCAGCAAATCCAGCACAGCCATCCTGACAGCTCCTGCCAGGGCTGCCATTTGGCAGCTGCAAGAGCCACTTGCAGCAACTCCCCTGCCCTGCTCTGCAGCCACAGCCTTCCCGTGCCAAAGGGCTGCCAAGGTTCCTCCCCTGAGCAGCTCTGCCCTGTCCTCCCAGCCCAGGATCCCTTTCACCTCCTGCTCCCTTCTCCTGGCTGCCCTTGCTGCCTGCAGCTCCTGCCCTGCTCTGCCATAGGGCCACTTCCTCTGCCCTGCAGGGACTGGGAGAGTCCTTCTGAAAGATCCTACAAGCTGTGGGATGTGGCAGCTTTAGGAGATCCCTTCAGGAAGGGAACTTTAACTGTCTTCTAGCCAGAGAATTCTTCATTCAAATCCTGGGAAGGTTTATCCCATAGTGAGAGCTCAGTCCCCTCCCAGCCCAGGCTGCCTCTCATCTCTCTGCCTTCTCTCCTTTGCCCTGGGTGCTGCAGGAAGTGTCCTCAGCCCTGCTGGGCTGTGCAGAGGAGCTGCTCAGCAGCAGAGCTGTGTCTTTGAAGCTGTTCTTGGTTGCCAGGAGCTCCCTGTGTGCCAGGAGCCCGGCCCAGCTCAGCAGCACAGCGACAGCCCCAGGCATTTCCTCAGCCTCGGGGGCTTTGGGGATGAGTCCCTGAACATCAGAGCCTGAGAAGAGTTGCAGGAACCTCTTGAGAAACCAAAGTGAGACTCAAACTGTAAAGTTTCTTGTAATGGTAATGAATCCCACTGAGGGATCCAACTGAGAAAAGATCTTGTTAGAGCACAAACCTGGAAACTGTGATGACAGGTCAGAGAATCAGAAAATCATCAAGGTCTAAAGAGACCAAGATCTTTTGGTCCAATTGTCAACCAGAAACATCAAAATCACCCCTAAACAACATACCACAGTGCAATATCCAGGTTTCATCTGAACACTTCCAGAAACTCTATCACCTCCATAAGAATTTTATTCCAATACCTAAACATTCAGTGAAAAATGAATCTAGAGGCTCAAGATGCACTGGTTCTAAAATTGGCAACACAGCAAACGATGACTGTCAACAAATATTAAGGTCCCTCAAAGATCCCACTCCAATGGACATGGTTAAGGAGTGTCGCAATGTAGCATCCAACACATACAGCAAATCCCTACCAACTGAAGTCCTGGCAGTGTAATAACAACCGAAGGAGGCTACGTGTCACCACTGCACACAAACAGGACATTTTCAAAGGGATTGCTCTCAACTGAAAAGAAGAGCACCTATAGTACCACCCAGCTTATGTTACCCATGCCAAAAGGGATTGCCCTGGGCCAGTGACTGTAGATCACTCTTGGACAGAGAGGGGAAAGCTGCACAAAGGCTGGCCTCAATTTCAGGAAATGGGGAGCCGAGCACGAAGGGCAATGCAATGATAAAAAATGCCCCACAAGTCAAGCACACCCAGCTGCTCCCCTCACTCCTGGACAGAGACCCAGAGTAAGTGTCTCTAGGGTGGAGTTGGCATCTCCCCACCAACTCACAATAAGCAGTGACAACTACCAAACAGTTCTCGTGAGACCAACGAATAACCTTCCAGTACCTGCTGGAAAATACATTTTAACTGGGACTACTCCATCTAATAATACAGGGTTAACAGTTATCCCACAATCAGTGACTGTAGACAACTCTAAGGCATTAGAAGTGACAGTAAAAACTCTATTTCTACCTGTGGAGCCAGACACAGAAACATCCATTGCCAATTTAGCCTGCATCAACATCAAAGGGGTAGAAGGAGCCAAGAAACCAAAGTGTCTTCACTTTCCTGATTGAAGGACCAGAAGGTAAAACTGCCTCAGCAAAGCCCTATGTCCTTAATATCCCAATGACCCTCTGGGGGAGAGATATGATAGGACAATGGGGAGTTCAACTAACTGCCTCAAATTTAATTTAAAGGCCACTGGTGAGCCACAATCTCCTGCCCTCACATGGCCCTCTGACGAGCCAATCTGGGTATCCCAGTGGCCCCTAAAGGGAGAGAAATTGCGGCAAATCAACCTACTATTACATGAACAAGGAGCAAAGGGACGTATCATGCCAACTGATAGTCCCTGGAATTTCCCCATTTTTACCATACGAAAGTGGAGACTGCTACAGGATTTAAGAGAACTCAATAAAATAATAGAGCCAATGGGGGCTCTGCAGCCAGGGTTTCCATCACTACAATGACACCTTGGAAGTGGTCTATTGTTCTCATTGATAGAAAAGATCATTTCTTTAACATTGCATTAAACCCTAAAGACTCTCGTAGGTTGGCATTTACAGTGCCTTCCATCAATGCAGCAGAACCATCTCAGCGCTATCACTGGACAGTCCTCCCACAAGGAAGGAGGAATAGCCCCTCCGTTTACCAAAAAGTCGTTGCAGACGTGTTATCACCAATCCATCGACAGTGTCCGGATACCATCATGTATCACTCTATGGACGATCTCTTGCTGGCAGTGGAATCTGAGGGACAACTCATGCAAGTCCATTTGTCTGTGAAAACTGCACTATTGACACATGGTCTGAAATTGCACCAGGGAAAGGACAAGTGACAGTTCCTTGGAAATATCTTGGATTTCAAATTAATAACACCACTATTCAGCCCCAGGCTGTTACTTTACCCACTGACAACCACACCTTAAATGATTCACAGTCGCTACTGGGCTTAATCAATTCGGTTTGGCCTCTGTTAGGTATAACAACAGACACCCTGAAACTGCTTTTTCAGCTCCTGAAAGGCGAGGCAGACTTAACCTGCCCTCGATGCTTAACACTGGCAGCCCTGGCAGTATTAAAGGAAATAAATCAAAGACTGAATTCCTGACAGAGAAAAAGAAAAGTGTAAGGGTTACTTTTTGTTTTAGTAATTTTTAAAGGTATCAAACAACCTTATGATGTAATAGGACAATTAGATGTAAAAGGCAAAGACTTTCTATAATGGGAATGGGTTTTTTAAGCTTCCAGTTTTCCAAACGCATTCCTACATATCCTGAGATGCTCTCCAAAGTCTGGCACAAAAGGAGATTGCGGTTTTGGGAACTCTTGGGGAGGGATCCAGATGTTATTTATGTTCCTCTGTCTACTGCTCAACTAACTCAATTGCAGATTCATAGCTCTGATTTTCAGTTAGCCACTACTGATTACAGGGGTCAATTTTCAGTTCACCGTCAACCTTTTTTGCAACTGCTAGCCCTTACTCAACCAGAGCTAACACACAACTATTCTCCTGTTCCACTAACCAGTGCTAGAACTGTTTTCACAGATGGTTCTGGCAGAACGTCTAATGCAGCAGTCACCTGGCTCAGAGCAGGAAAATGGGTATATGACACGCACAAGGTAAGAGG